GAGGAGCTGATTGGCATTTGTGTTTTTCTTGTTACAATACTTTATGTTTATATTTACCAATTGTTTAATCAAGAAAACCAGTTTTCTTCAAGAGCAGTATGGGGCTAACTGAGAAGCTAACGAACCGTATCTTAGACACGGTATGTTTACCTCACGGTTGGGCCAGAACCGGGCGTCGAATACTTCCCCTACGCGGAATCGAAGGGAATGCATAGGGAATATTACAAGATTATAGTTGAATTGTTTAAAAAACACAAAAAAAATTTTTTGTTCGTTATCTCAATTCGCCACCATCTCACTTTCTCACTCCTGGGCCAGTGTATGTAGTCAAAGTGGCGCAGTATCACAAGCATGGTCCCGTGATCGGATACCGTATTGATACCCTTTCAGGCCAGCTAAGCTCTCCTCTCTTTGATGATCGGTTATTTGGTACCGGACTCGTCTAGGAAGACAAAGGGGCTGGTTGGTACATCGGTCAACCAGAGCTACCCTCGCATTTGCAAAGCCACTGCTATCCTGAATTCAAGTCGTATAAGAGGCTTAGTCCAAGCGTGATCGATCAATTGCAAAAGTTACGCTTCGCATCTTCTCGTTTCTTTTGTGACGGAGGGTAGGTAGTCAGAGTAGCGCCCCTATGTAGCACACCCATATCACATTTAGAGCGTAAAAAGGAAGAATTCTTGATCAAGGAATCCGTCAGGAATCGGTATATTATTGAAAAGCATTCCAAACGGGATTATTCAACGCTGAAGCGCCCAATACACAACTAGTCCCACCTCTCCTCAAATGTCATCTCCCTAGAAGTAGTTCTCGTGAATTGGTAGCAGAAGGGAAGGTATTGCTCTAAAGAGATCCGATGTCACATTCAGAGCTGCCCATACCGATCAACCTTCCTCACAAACCTGGATCAATTCACTTCCACAAATTGGTGGAATCAAGGAGACCAACGTAGAATTAGAAAAGAACTCATCCAGATAACAAAATAGGAACATTCACAACATTGAAAGATTTTACCCAGTGAGAACTTTTGGTGAAGCAAATAAATCATTAGAAACCTTTTCAATGAAAGCCCAGCTCGAAGAAAGCTCTCGAGAATTGATGAAAAAACCAATAAATAATTCATAATGAGTTTCTTCCTTCTATATTCCCTTTCATGGTCTAATGCCCATTATGCAAAATCGAACGAGAATTGTGGATGTCGTGTGAACACCGCCGAAGAGAAAGATTCTGAATTTTTTACAAATTGTGGGAATAAAAGCATTTACAACTTCAAAAACTCTTCTTCTATTACTTCATGGTCCTCTCAAAAATGGTAGGATGTCCTCGATTTCAATTATTTTTATTCATTTTTAAAACAAATAGATGAATAAACAACTATTAAGCACTCTAGCTTTTCAGCTCCCTGCAACATAGCCTCGCTTTGTTGGTAGAATTCAAGATTATTCTTTGTTCTATTCTTTTTTTATATGCGAAAGCCTGCAAAAGAGATGGTGGGGCGGGCACAAGTACGGGTTTGAGTCCCCTCTGGGGTCGAAGTTTTGCTAACTAGCCATCCTTGAGAAACAGTTAACAGTAATTACTGAAGTGAACTACATTAGGTGCCTGTTTCCGAAATTGCCCTGTTATAGCTCCCGGAGGAAGTTTTTTGGAAAGCTGCACCCACTCTTGTATAACTGTCTACATATCTCCAGCAGCCTTCTTAAACTGAATCGCAAACTTTAGAAGGGATGTTGTGGTCGGTATAGGTGTGGGTAAGAGTAGGTGTGGCCGGTATATTGGTCTTAACTATTCATGCTAGCTCCAGGATCCTAAAGATTCAGTGATCAATAATTCAATCAATAATTTTTCGCAGCACTCTCGTCGACAGATTTATTACTCGCATTTTTTAATTCTTTCATTTTCCATGCTCAGAAGAAATCCATGATGTCCATTGTTTCCTGAGGGGAAGGTGTAAGGGCAAAGTAAACATTACATACATCAGGAAACAACCTGAAATCCCATCCTCACCTGAATTCTCGCGACGGCAACGCGGCTGTCAGCCAGCTCGGTGATGTGATAATAGTATCGTATGACTGGAAGTTTCTTCTTGGGACGGCTACTATGCTGTGTGGGAGGTCCGACAACAGCAACTTACAAATGATGACCATTACTTTCTATAAGTGATTGAGGCGCCCTCAATGAGCTATCCGTATAAGTCTTACACGTAATCAATGATCACTCACAAAGGGATTGCGATTGTAGATTTTTTATTTTTTTTTAAATTAACCGTTTTGTTATTTATTTATTTTTCAAGCCGATACACCTCTTCTCCTATGGAAAGACATTTATGTGGTTTACTCCACTCATATTCAATTCTGAGAAAAAAATAAGCCTACGTTGCACGAAGGCTATTTGAGTACATATTTCAAGGAGCAAGTACTGCACTGTCTCGAAAGAAGCCATTTAGCTCGTTTATACATCCTGTCCCCCCCCCCCTCCACGCCCTCCCCTTGAAACGAATTTTACCAAGGAAAAATAGGTCCCTGTTAAGGATTTGCACTTTAGTGGCATATCGAGCGTTTCTGTCCTGATAGAATTACCAGTAAAAAACCTTGTTCCGTCTAGCTTTCTAAGAGCCCTCTTCAATCCACTAACCCGGCCTAGACGAAAATCTTATAGATTTCCGCTAGAGGTAAACGAAGCTCTAAGCCATTCATCCCACGGCAAAGGCCTCCCACAAGTTACTAACACAGATCCATCACCTTTTTCACCAAAAAAAAACCTGTGTTTTCCGATCAATCACTAATATTGCTAATGAAAAAATGATGAATTTTCTAACGTAATCAAGCCCTTTTCTGAAATGCGCCTTGCCTTCAACATCCATTCAGAATCGTAGTGATGGTTTGAATGTGTATAAAGCCTACAGTCTCGTCAAAAATCTCGGTGGTCAGAAGATGGACAGGTCTTATACCCTACTAAACGAGATTGTTGTCAATAAACAGACCACGGAGGGGTAGAAGGCTTGGTTCATTGGCCTGGGCAAGTACTGATCCCGATCATGCGTGTGTGCTACTGCCCCACTTGCCATTTCAACAAAACTGGCAAACAAGTAAACGAAGAGAGGTAAGCAACAAATTTCTAGAACATTAGGTTGAAATACGTTTTTTCTTCGAAGAAAGTTCGAGATCATGCTTCAAAGAGACTCAGTTATAGGAAATAGTCAAATTGGAAAGTTGTTAGAAGGCCAAGAGTACGAATTTTGCAGGGATATGAATCCAAAATGGCGTGCACCTTGAAAGCAGCGCAGCATGTCCGGAGAGCTGAAGACGACGGATTCACGAGTGTAGGCCTAATAGGGCTCTAGTGCTTTAGCTGCCAAAGAAAAACCTCCTTTACAAGAACCCTTCCGTTTCGCCTAAAACGCAATCAGGTCGAGCCTACTGACTATTCAACTCGTACGAAATGAATTCAGACAAAAACGTTCTCGATGGACATCACATTATATATGAAATGGAGTTCTTGGAAACGAACGAACGAACGAAATAACGAACAAACGAGCTGGCCGTTATGCCGTGAAAACGATGTTTTCACTAAGGCCAGTTGTCGGATTGAACATCGTTGATGAAGTCTGCACAAGTTACTTCAACCGAGTGAAGTCGAAAGCTCTTGACAATTTCGGCGACACACAAAGACACCGAACTTGAACAGCTGAAAATTTAATTCAAAAAACCTCAAAACGGATTACGTTCGTGATGTCATTGACAACGGCGAACGGCGAAGACAACACATCCGCTGTTCCACGCCTTAAGGCGATCTGCATAAGATAGTTAGGGATAGGAGAAAAATAAAGGTGTTTTATAAAATTATTCATTAACCCTGGCTATTGGTGTAGCAGAGACGCTCTGAAATTATAACAGGGAACAGTGTGTATAGGCCCGGCCCACTGTATAAGTTATAGCCGTTCTGTGGGATGCGCCATGCATTCCTCTTTCGTGTATACCGCATTTCATTTCTGTTCAAACACAAAATTACACCACCACAACCAAAGTTAGATTACCGGATCTGTGTCTTTTTTCTGGATAATTTACCAAGCTTTGGAATTACCATCATTGATTGATGAGATCGATTAACGCCAAAATACTTTATCCCTTATCCTTTGATCCACCTTACCTTTATCACCTGTCGTCTCTTTGGTCAAAAATACCAAAGGTGCTTTGGAAGGTAGGAACAAGGCAGGAACAGGTAGGACAGTGGTGTAGGAAGGAAGATATAGGATCTGAGAAAACAGAAGTGGGCTCCATCCTACTCCTTCAAATCTAGTCTGAAGAGAGTAGAGCTCCCACCTATTGGGCCGCCTCCGCTAAGAGGTAATACTGAAGGTGACTGGTACAGATCAATCTGTACTAAAAGGTGTAATAACAGATGGACAAGCGAAAAAAATGAGAAAACGTCCAAAGGAAGAGGTTGTAAATGGAAATGTTAGAAGGGCCGAGTGATTGAAATCTGATAGCTACAGCGGTGACGGATGAGAAGGATAGGAAATAGGAAAATTGAGAGAAGAAAGAGAGCCAAGGTTTGTGAAGAAGGGATCGTATAAATGCAAATATTACCATGTGTTTTCGATCATAAGATTGAAGTAAGAATCTAGAATAGAATGAGATCAATCAGAAGTCACTTCAGCCAAATACTCGGTCTTTTGGAAAACAAGTTGGTTGCCAAGTCGTACGATAAGTGCAGTTTTAGGTGGCCTAGGTGATCTGCAAGTGCTGCTGGACAAGTCTACTGACCAAGAAATTATGCTCGATAGCAAAAGGGTTATGGTAAGGGTTGAGATAGGGGATAAGAGAGATTTTATTAGAAAGGATGGGGCCATATAGGTAGGAAATACAGGGTCAGTCATGTAATCGGGGAGTGCCACACTCTGTTTCCGTGTAGCGATTCATACCCAAAGGGAAAAGGAAATCCATGGGCCACACTCCAGACAAATGCCATTCAGCCCGAGTAAACGCCCACCTCAGTAGATGCCAAAATGGCCCCAAAGATTGAAACGGCTTCTACTGACCGGTTTTCAGAGGTCGAACAAGGGTGCAGAAGCTACTAAAATGTTTAAATTGGGTCGAATGCGCGGCGTAGTCAATCCAGAACGGGGTTGGTCGTGGGTGAGATATCCATACCACCCCCCCCCCCCCCCCCCCACAANAGATATCCATACCCCCCCCCCCCCCCTCCACCATAACCATGTAACATGATCTCTTCTATATTCTCGTTCCTGATCACTCAATTCCTATAAAACCACAGTAATCCTTAATAAAATCATCCAGCGAAGTAAACTTTCTTGGGTGTAAAAACATTCTCTCTAAGTTTGTGTTTGTTCACTTCCCTCTCCTTTGTGTATCCAAAGTACTAGCCAACTGACAGAAATAAAGCAGCATTACGGTCAGTTATTTGGCGAAGGTGGTGTAGTGGCAGGTGGCGCGCTATCACCGACCCGGGACCGGATCGATATCTGCCAATGCCAACCAAGCGTTCCGTCTCTCCGTCGTCCGTTACTTGGCACCGGCTCATCTGGGAGGGCACAATTGACTAAATCTTTATACTTTGTCCTTTGTTTGACGATTAATTGAGCTATACCATAACCTTTTTAATCGCTCTGAGGTGTAAGAATAACGGTGATGGTTCGGATCAACGTAGGCACGCGCAGTGTATGCGTACTGCAGAGCACGCCCTATACTGGACGGCTTCGGGCGTGTTACATCGCTTATCGAGCTTCTTCGTTTTTGTAAACAATTTATGATTATCTTTTTCATCCTTTTTGTAACTTTTAATGAATTCGAAGCTGTCAAGACGAGGATAGCACGAGAATCGTTCAATTCAAAGTGTTTGTACCCCATTTTTCCTAGACTTGTGGTCTTGATAAACAAACCAATAACATCTTCTTTTCGCTGCTTTGGAAAACTTTAAAGTAGTCTCTTTGTGAAATAAGAAGCTAGAAATGATTGGTGATTCTTGTTGATCTTATCTTTTTTTAACTAGCAAAGTATACGTGCCAATGCTGACCCTTCCGCTTATTTTTTTCGATTTCGTTCATTTTATTTGCAGGCACCACAATTTAATGTTATGGTGGAAATCGCAGTTGGCGATCTGTACGATCAGATTGCTAGCAAACAAGAAGGTATCGTGATACATCCTGAAGCACTATACGAGTGCAAATATTGTGCTATGTTTCAGGTAGACGGTTTTTCTCTTTCAGATATTTATAATATTTAGTCACCATATGTCTGAAGGTCCCTTTTGTCTTGAACCGACTTGTACTATTAATAGCAGTTCAGAAAACCAAACTGCTGCAGGATATTCTTTTCATTTCTTATGGCCCAATGACGTGATTAAAGTTTCCTTTGGCTAGTTGTATCCCCTAATTCCCAATTTTCGAATGTATTCGCTAATGTAACCCAAATTCTGTTGCAGATCTCCGGCTCTGAACTTCGTGACTCGGATAGAGGACGTTCTCATGCTGCTGCTCATCGCATTGCTTTTGAAGCTCTGCTTGAGCCTGCACCAGTTCTCATTTGTCCCATATGTGATTTACCACAGAAGACCAGTGAGGTTGCATGCGTATTCGGCTGCATGTTTAACGATCTGGATCTTGTTAGTTTGTGCTCTTTTTTTGTTCTAGTTACGTTTCCCATGAATATTTGCGCATCTCAAGGTTGAACATTTGGAACGTGACCACAGTGACATCCTTGCCGATGATATGGTGTGCGATTTTTCGGATCCGCGATACCTTTTCACAACATTCCGAGAAAAAGGAGGACCGAAGAACTTGTCACTAGATCAAAGGTAGCAGTGCTTGGATTGAATTTTTTCATGCTCCTCTTCCCGAAGCTTTATTTCCTGGCAATCCTTAATCTTGTGTATTTTTGAGGAATTCTGAACAGACTAATGGTCCTGAAGGAGGTGATGACCGCAGCACAGTCGTTCTCGTTAGTTTAATTCGAACCACTTATTTTATTTAGGCGTAATTTTCAGAGTCAGGCCTTTGATCTATGTGTGTAACGCGAAACATCAATGTCTATCTCTTTGAATTTCACGGAAACCGTCGTAAGTGCAAGGTCAAATCCGCATTACAGAGTGATGGTGACGAAGGAAGCCGATCAAGTTCGGCAGATGATAACCGATTGGAGTGCAAACACTCTCCAAATGGTGCTGGAGAAGGCCATGCAAATGAAGCTGATCACAACGATTCTGGAGATGGCAGGGTAACTATTTGACTATTTCTTTCTTCAAGTTCCTTCCAATGCTTATAAACCATTACAGAACTCGGGCGGTGGGCGCTCACGGTCAGGGGAAGAAAGCATGGAGGCGAATGCTTCTTGTGTATCCGAACATTCAGAACCGAATTCCACTCAGGTTCATCACAGATTCAATGATTGCGAACACTATAGCTTTTCAAGTTGATTATACAGGAGCCAATGCATGACAACGAGCATCCTCCAAATAATGAGGGTGCCGTACCGATGGATACCGAAAGAGACAAGCGCCCAGAAAATTCTCCCCAAGAAGCGCAACCCGTTCGCAAACAAATGGCCGGTGTCAGGTAACGTAATGTTTGTGCCTTGAATTAGGGCGTATTGTTTTTCAGAATTTATGGTTGTCTTTCTGCTTCAGTATAATCACTTGTCTTGTATGCGATTGGTCGCCGTCATCGGTTCACGATTCGAATCGTATGCGTGATGAGCTTTCTTCGCATGTACGTCTCCATATAAGGGACGAGTCAAACAAAATTCCCAGTAGAGGTGACAGCTTTTTTGGGGTTAGTTACCTTACTGCTGGCAATTATGTAGACGCGTAACCACCATTTTATTGAATTTCAGGATAAACGCCTTTTGAGTTGCATGGATTTTAGCTTAGAGGAATATTTTGAAAAAGAACATCTCACCGATCTTAGCGGCACAATAAACTCCAGGATCATGGAGCGAGTATACGGAGATCTACTTACCAAAGTCAGTTACTATATCCTTTTGTGATAGACTCAGTTGAATAGATAATGTCTTATTCCTTAAGTTGTTTGGTATATGCGTTCCACTGGTTTATCGAATTTTGCATGGTAATAATGGAAATCCGTTCCGTTCACCGGAGATGTTTACCAACAAACGAAGAAGGGCTCGTCGTGTTAATAGATCAAAGGCTGGAAAAGGTAATACTTTCTGTAGACCTCCTGTTGTTCTTTCTTTTCCCACGGAGTGTTGCTTTGAAATAACGTTGCAGATGCCTCGAAAAAGACTGCTACACGAGCTAGTAAAAGTAGTATGAGAAGGACGCATTCTACCAGTACATTCACAACTGAGAGGTAATTATTTTTATTTGGATGTGAAATAGACTACTCTGAAGATTTACATTGTAGTTTCAATAGTGACGCTGACAGTAGTACATATGAATGCGCGGATCTTCTTGGCATAGGAAATTTCGAAACAAATCAGGTCTGCGTTGGTATTTTTACATACAATCACTTATTTTTTGTGCATGGTAGTTGGTCCATTCTTTCTTGTGTGGTTTTTCTTGGAGAGTAGATTGATCACAGCTTTCATTCATAATCGCGACAGACAAGAAGGTTACTTGGCACCCAAACAGCCTCATTTTCTAGAGCGCCCCTTCATCAGTTGTAGTGTGCCACTGTGTGCTTTGTCCTAACCAATGTGGCCTATTACTTATGCAGTGTGTAGTGTAACATCAGTTGCTGTTATCTGGTTGGGAATCAGGGCATAGGGCTCGGGGAATGGGGAGGAATCCATGAATTATGAGAGGGGTATCATATTAATAGCTATTATGGATGACGCAGATGCAAGGGATCTTGGGCTCCACCTTTTCCATATGAACTTTCTCATCTTCTAATCACTTTCCAAAATCGGGATGCCTGTTTTCCCTAGATATCTCGACAATTACGGAGAATGGGCATCTCCTTGAGTCGATAGTCGGAGGTACATCCCAACCTATTTCAGCGAAGCCATGTTGTCACATTTGTTTTAGTTAGCTTCAATAGTTTTTTGTTAATCCTTGGCTATTGCAGCACATCCAGTGTGCTCGTGCTGAATGCGGTCACTATCTGTTAACGCCGGCTGATCGCATGTCATTAGTTCGTCACATTGCTGCACATATACGTCATGATGAGATGCGGCTGTTGAAGGCCGGAGGGGTTTCTCCCCTAGTTGCTTGCGACTGCGGAGTTGCGGTAAGCTCTAATTAAATTCCCCTCTACAACCCTAGTGAAGAGTCTTATGGATTTAGATGGGCTCGCCAATGGGCTACATTTATCACATCGTTCATGACCACGTTTTTGAACGAAAGAAGTTCACTGATCTTGCGGCTACAATTGTATCGTACCTCATGCTTGTATGTTCCACGTTTTCATAGGTATTTCCTACTTACTGCCAAGGGTGGCTATTGGATGGAATTGTTTCAGATTGTGGAAACCGCCATTGAATCTGTATTAGCCGTGCGTGTCGATTTCCGCGCAACAAGGTGGACCCTTTGGTGTGCCTATTTTGCACTCGAAAATGATGAAGGTATCTTTTTTCCAAGGGTTATTTGTCTTCTCAAATAAGTCCTGCTACCGATTATCAAGGGAATTTTCTACTCATGTATGTTGTTTGAAAACATTATGAAGTTGCCTCGCTGTTCTGCCCTTGCTAATGTTCTGTCAGGGTATTGCATGCTCCATACTCGCCTCCTCTTGCTTTCTTGATTATTCCTTTTCCTTCTTTTTTGAATTTTCACCGTTCTAGCGATTAATCTCGCATAAAATGTTCGCTGTTCAGGCGATGAGAAATTATTCATTGATAGCACCGATTTGAACGAACATTGGTGGAAACTATGGGAAAGCCTGCTAGATGAATGTGTGACCGGCAAAAGTCAGTCATGTCGTAAATCTTTTATGAGTTGCTTTCATAAAAGCTTTCGTATGAGATTCAACATCGCAGATATGACACTCGGGGACACAATAAAGCTATTCGAAATGCACCCATATGTTGACGAAGAGCGCCTTCGAACGAGAAAGCACAAATCTATCCCAGTCATGGATGCGGAGAAGATTCAGCGATCGCTTTCTGCGGTAACAGCAACTACCACTAGAAGTTCCAACACATATTGTCTTTTTTATCTTATTTTTGATTTCATCATTCAGGTTTGGCTTCATCTTAATCAATGGTCAAATGATCCTGTTAATCGTGTACATCTCGCAAGCGAATCGCGTTGGATTCGCCTTGCTCAGCTTCGAAGAAAGGTGTTCCTGGAGTCTAAAAAGAAGGTATACGAGACTTTTTCTTGTCTTTTTGAGTTCTATCATTTGTAGAGATTAGGAACTTATCTCCAATAGCTATACCTTACTCGTTTAGGGTGATCAGAACAAAGCGGATAATTTGCATAGCATAACGATTTGCTCAATTCCTTCTTCTTTCGAGTTTGTTGCAATTTCCATGTGATTCCTTCCTTCACTTGGAAGCTGTGTAGAAATTGATCCTTCAGGTGCAAGCAACGGCAATTAGCTGCTGTGGCAGACCAGTCTTCGCCAACGGCTTTACATGGTCAGTAGTAGCTTAGTAACCCCTTATCTTTTGCATTGTTCTCTAACTAGTTTCAGTTGCTGCTATTTTATTTTGCCAATTAAACTTTCATACCACAGACTCTGATGCGGGAAGTACTACGTCAATCACAGTGAATGCGTCTGCATCAGTGATCGACGTCCTTGATGCATGCTCCCGACAAGATGCTATGACATCTGCGAATACTGTACGTTTGCCTGTCTTCGAAAAGCTGTGTTTTTCCGCGCATCAAACCTTATTTTCATTTTCTTGAAGGAATGTGGTGACCCTATGCCAACTTCGGGTTTTTTCGCAGACCTTCTAGCCGCTTCTCAAAACAACATTCAGGTGAAAATTTCTTGTTTATTCACAAACAAAGCATATGTTTGTGCTGTTGGGTTTCACATCTTCTTGTCGAAATCCGCTCCAATCTAGTTGATCCGCTCTCTAATGTCTGCACCTTTTTTTCCGAGCTTCACCAAAAAAGACCTTTCATTGTGGTAAGACCATCCTGATGTCTCTTTTGGGCTGTTCTAGAAATACACATGGGAGTCTTATAAGTGAGAATGTCTTTTCCTGCGAGCTAACCGGGTAAGAAAAGCTGGAGTTGAGCCTTGTTTTTTCCTGAGTGGTCCGATGTATACCGAAAGATTATGAGGAAAAGATTTCTTCTGATGAATTCAAGATGTTCTTCTGTTCTTGTCAGTCTAGAACGGTAACGGTAGATTTCTTTATAAATTAAGTTGCTTACTCGGGCAGCATACCAAGCATTTTGAAGCACTGAGTCATGAAAGGGAAAGCAAAATTGGTGGTAGGACATGGACTAGATGAATACTGTTTTGTGCATTTCAAATTGTGCGAAGCACATTTCATGCAACGTTCAGCAATAATAATGTTTAGGCTCAGGAAGAAGCTGATGTTGCAGAACTAAGTGTGAAATATGTCCACTGCCTTATATGTGCAAATATATGTATACGTGCGGATAATGCTGCATATATCAAGGTACGTTTTTGCAAGTACTTATCCTCACTCCTGAGAACTTTTTGACCGTTAACAATAATTGCTAAATACTATTATAGAATCATTGTGCTCTTCATGCTGTGCTAGAAGGTCGGATGTTGTGTTCACTGTATATTCATAGAGCAGCTGATCGGCCACAAATGTGTCCTTTTTGCCCTACTGAGATGAATGTTTATAAGCCGACTGATTTTTTGGAGCACATAAGACGTGAGTGTGAGACTCCCCTTTTCGATATTAGATCTCGATTTTTCAATGGAATTTTTCTTGTTTTTTNTTTTTTATAGGAAAGCACGAAAAGAAATCTCGTATGATCTATGATCGCTTCCTTCACTCATATTTTCCGCAATCCAAGGTATTTATTTTGTGGGGTCTTCATCTATTTATACGGTCGTAATTTGATTTGATGATGATATCATCGTTGTCAGATTTTTTCTGAGCCCACAACAGAAGAGTCGCCCAGAGAGGAAGAACAATGTAGAAGTGATTTTATCATTCGTTGCCAACGAACCAACTGCTGTGGAGTTGATCCGGTGATTGTTTTCGCTTTTTTCTCCAGCTCTCATTTTTTTAATCTTCAGTCTTTCTTCTCGAGTTGTGAGTGAGAGCTGTTCAGGTAATTGTGCTACCAAGTGATAAAGCAATACCCCTGGCAAATGTCGACATTGCTGTGGTGAAACATATGCTGTGGCACGTACGCAATGATTCATTTTTGGTGAGCTACATGATTGTTATGCCTTCGTCAGCGTGTTCCACGTTGTGTAGAGTTTCCTACTGTGATGTTTTGATTGAAACAATCCAAGTAGCGCGTTTAGGAGTTGGATCATAATGAGACAGAAATTCTCACTCGCGCACTGATGATCCGTCTTTCTTGCACACAAATGCGGCAGGTGCTGTTCATGGCAAGGAGAGTTGCGAAGCAGTTCAATAAGTAAGTAAAACTGCATGCATGCACATCATTCTGATCGGAACCGCAGATTATCCTACGTTTTTCAGATATAAGGAAACAGATCTGATAAGATACATCCAGGAAAAAATGGAGGAGATTGGTTGCGCTCTCTTTGGCGTGAACAAGGGCTTGGTGTTCCAGGTAAGAGTATATCAACACTTTTTACACTTGTGTCTTTGAAGCATCTGCCGTTTACAAGGTAATACGAAATCTATAAGCACCTACTGTTTCCACAGCCTCTCTATTGATCGGTTTCATTCTTAAGATGGTATTTACACGCCGTTTTGTGCGTGATCAGAGCGGTATGCAGTTGTATCCTCCATGTGTTTGTCGGCTTTGTGTAGACAAGGAACTGCCTCGATACTCGGTCCGTGCAATTTTTCTGATTTTTCAAATTGCTGTACTAGTGAGGCAATGATTTTATGTCATTTTCAGAGTGATCGTCGGAAACGTGCGTTTGTCGCTTATGCTCATCCAGTTGTTCTTCATATCCTTGAACATCTGTCTCTAGGGCAGCTGCAGCAAGATGATGTACGTGATCAAAGTCTCCGAACCATTACAATCTGAATTAGAAATCAATGAGGACAGTGCATAGTTGCTCGGAATGATTTCCTTAACCCTTTCAGGATACCGCAGCGGACTTAAGATGGGAAGGTGCCTGTTCGGTTGATGGGCTGCGATTCAAAAATGTGTCACTGGCAATAAAACACGTACTCGATGCTCATAACGATCTCGTGGAACTGAGGTTCATCGCTTCAGATTTTTCCATTTTCTATTCGATACATACATGTTGTTTTGTTACTTCAGTGCATTGGACATGATGCTAGAAGATATGGGGATTTTCCGACTCTTCCACAACGCCATTTCATCTGCGTTGGGTGAGCAAGCATGGCAACTGGAGGTATGTTTAATTTTTAATGTTTGATGTGTAATTTGTACTTCTTTCTGGTTACTACCCATGCGCAACTATGGGGTATATTCAGGAAGCGCTAGGATTTGGTGCGTACAAAGCGAAAGTTCGCCCAAGGCCAGATTTTTTCAACGAACCTGCACCAGGTAAGTGAATCTTTGGTAACATTAAACAACAGCAGCAAGTATGGCTGATTTAGAAAGTATCCATCGACCAGATTGTTCTCGTTCGTGGGATTCATCAACACAATTGTGCGCGTGTTTAGATCCAACTCCATCACAGCAGGAACCGACATCATTGGGGGCTGAGGGGAGTACCCCTCATCCAAGGCGCAGAATGAGGGCGTGAGTTTGGCTAAGACATCATTCAAAAATTTTCAAACAAAACTAGAGTTTCTGCGGTTTACAGGACGTCGTTGCGTGACATGCCTGAAGCTTCCGCTGCTTGTTATGCTGAGTTCCTGAATGAATCGGAAGATCGAGAAGAACATCCTTCACTGCCTTCGTTTCACGCCAGTGGGGATGACGAACCTTCAACAAGTAACTTGCAGACTCCAACGACTGCCCTTATAAACACTATTGGTGGGTTAGATAGATAGTATAGAATTCTCTTTCTCTATATGAGGGCGATCTCTTTAAAAGAGTTATCTTTACACTATCTAACGGGCCTACTTTTTTCCTGGAGTTCAACTGTTATCTGTCAACCGCTATGCATTTTATTTCAGAGCTTTTGATTTTATTTTTCTAGTAAGTAAGAGCTTTGTTACTTAATCTCTATGGAATTCATCTGGCTGTACCGATTGAACGATCTGGTATTTATTGAACTTAAATTGCGAATGTTTAGTGGCACAGTCGGCTCCGGCATCAACTGTGAAAGTAGAAACAGACGAGTCAGGAGCAGCGAGAAGTGGGTTTGAAAACTCTATCACTGCTCTTGCGGAAGCGGCAGTGGCGGTTCCATCATCGGCTGATGCTGGTGCCGAAGCAACGGAAAATAGGATGGCGAATTCTGTATGTTTTATTGTAATGATCACTACATTTGTAATTGAGTAACTTCGATGCATTTGTAGAAGAAAAAACGACCTGATCGATTCAAGAGAGCAAGACAGAAACGTGTCAAAGAAATAAAGCGAGAAGTTGATGGAATGATCGTACCCCAACGGAATAAGGCACTTCCTCTAAAGGTACTCATATGCTTCTTTCTTTGCAACATATTTGATTTTTGTAAAGTTGGCGCAACTACCACTGGTATGGGTGGGACCTTTTGGTACCATTCATAGTTGTAAACTGTAATTGTCTGAAGATAGTTCGTAATGTGTTACTAATTTCAGAATGTCATTCAAGGCTCTAAAACTGTGGCTGCTGCTCTTGTTGCTGCTATCGGATCACCCAGCTCTACAGGAGAAGGATCTAATCCTCAGTCAACACAGCAAGCAGATCACGAAGAAGGGGCGCGCGGTGATGCAACTGAATCTGTACGGTCTTTGGGAACGAATGCATCGCAAACTTCCTCAAGGACAAAAAAGAAGTCAATGAATGCAGACGGGTAAGTGCAGGCTCTTTAACGAGCTTTGGTAGAGATCGGTGACCCTTTTTCAGACGGGAAAATCCTCCCGAGATTTCTAGAATATTAAATTTTGACGAAATGACGTCGATAGGTTAGCTAATGGGTGGGTTATTTGGACAGAGGCTAATTTAAAGAGTTCACTAAACAGGAGTGATGAATGCTTTCGGGTTCATTCGAAGTTCATGCATAAATTCTTATATTGAAGAAGTTTTTCTAGAAATAATGAAGAGGCTGAGCTTGCTTTGGGCAGAGTCACGAAAAAGCCTCGGCTTGCAACAGTTGGTACCGTTGGAACGGAAGCGTTGAATAAGGTTGACAGCATTGCGACAGATTATTTCAGACGACGTCTTCGCCCACCAAGGTGATGTAGCTAAGAGTTACTAATAAGTGGATTATTTCTTGTTACTGTGCCGTAGGTTTCGTTTCTTTTCGTCATTCTTTTTTCTTATATTGTTTCTGACGTTTTTCTTCCTTATCTAGGCAATTAGTGTTTTATTTTTGCTGGTGTTCCCTGAAAGATTTTTTTATTTTAATGATAACTTCATCTCTGATAATCGGGTATAGTTTACTCTCATTACATTATCTCCTTTTTAGAACATTCATATATGACACCATGTTTTTCATTGTGCGTGTAACTTTTGAATTGTACAAAGTTCTTCAATTTTATGATTTATGATTTATAATTTTTCGAATTCAGATTTTTGTTGTGTAACAAAATTCAATAATATGTACTGTCTCTATCTGAACTGTCGAATTAGGGAAGAACATTGAATCACGCAGGAAAGATCCTGAAATTCAGCAATATTTATGAAATAATATGGATTTGTAGAAAGGCTTTATACTAACCTTAATCATTTCGGTTAGCGAGTACTTATTGGCGACTTCATTGCAGTCGTATATAACCATAGCACGGCAACGAAGCTATAAGAAAAAGATGTCTGCGTTGGACCCACTCCGTACGAAAGAAATTCAAGGAGGGCTCAGTGGCGCGACCTCTACCGTTAATATCGAAAAGGCGCAGGGGTGTAGGTGAGTGGGTGTGGCTGTGGTGCTTTACGATGGATTTGGGCTGCTTATTATATTCCTTTCAACCTTTCAATGGTTTTCTGTAGTTATTTATTGACATTTTTTGTTCACACTCTAACTCACCCCCTCTCGAGTACACGTGCAACTGGTACATGGTCTTGTTCGCGCACTTTCGCCCATAACTAGCCCTCTGTGTGCGGAGATCTTACAACCACCTGAAAAAAAAAAGATTTCTCATCACGACATTCGGAAAAGACTGAAAAAAGTACCTCTTTCAGACCATTTTGATAGGTCAATTTTATGGAAGTCATCGCAATGAATGGGAGCATTTCTGTAAAGAAAATATGTAAGAATTATCTCTGTTTAGGATGGGTAAATGGTTGAGTCACGATGAGGTTCTGCTACGATTCTTGGCTTCATTGGCACTGTTTTTCGCGTGTGGGTACTTCTCCCCGGAAATCGCGTCGCGCTCGCCGCACCCGATCGCGTGCTGTCACGCACTATGAAGAGAAAGATTAAATTTCCCAATGGAAGGATATGGAAGTCGCTACAAAACCACTGCCGCTTGCCGTGTGAATTCGGGGAGAAGAACTTTTTCCTTCATATGTTAGGTTCCCTCTTCTGGGGACTTTCAGTTAGACTATTAGCTTTGTGGCTCCAGCACTAAGCCCAATCTAAAATGAATAGGGTGAGTGAACTCTCGGATTGGAATTGTTCAAAGATATTGCTTTCTACCAGCTTACGAAGTGAGTCTATTCCGCCGCGAAACGAGTTTTCCGCACGCGGCGAGTGGCTCAATACAAGGCGCATGCCATAGGCTGCGACTTATCTGTCGTCCAGCCTTGGCCATTTGGGACCACCTAAACCTGCTCGAACTGCGGCTTCGATAAATGGCTATCATCAAGAGATGCAGATGATAGCCGTCTCAACCTGGACCTTAACTGGTAAGTGAGAGGCCCGAATCGGTGGAAGATCGTTCGACAAATATTAAAAGAGAAAGGATGAGGAGTAGGAATTTTCAGGTTATCGTCCCCATATCTCGCTCCCAAATGGGAACTCACGTTAGCACGTCTGGCAGTGAAAATGCATCCGGTTGCAGTTTTCGAATCCATCTGTGGTTAGCACACATCACTGAGGAGAGAGTAACTTGTCGAATTTGTTGAAGTTGATCTAAAAATAGGGTGCGTTAGTTAATTTCGAGTTAAAAAGCAGTCAAAGAACACCTCAGTGTACCTGAAGTAAACTGTTGGGGTCCAGGATTCTCATAGAAAAAACGATCACATTTTTTGATTCGTGAAAACTGTTCCGCAATGATGCAGCCACCGGTCGGTCCAATCACTGCTCCTGAAATGTCGTTCATCCAATCCCTTTCGAGGTCATCAACCGTAAACTGGCCATTTTTTCTTTTTCATGTTTGTTTTCATTTTGCACGAAATTTCTTTTCAGAATAGTTTTTTTAGCATCTTAAAAATTTTTTGAAAAAAGTAAGTCCACCACTGAACGCTGTACCTTT